ATAGCGCTGGAATCCGTCCGTCTCACAGTTGCGCTCAACTTGCATCTGCACAGATATCAAGTCGTTGCTGTGTGATCTCCCAGGTTAAACTTGGCACTTGCTAGCGATGTTTCTAAAACACGCATGGTTCTACTGAAGCAATAAAATCGATATTGACACAAACTACTGTACCGTATGTCTCTCGACGTAACGAAGTACAGCCTGCTTTTCGGACCAAAACGCAGCTTTTCCCGGAGCATTCTGTGAGTTTGCGTGACACTGTGGCCTTGCATTAGTAGGGATACTATGTACTCCCGCGATGTCTCGTTCAACTTTAGCATTGACGCCTGAGGTTCGTGACCAAGATGAGTGAAGCAGTGCTCCACGACTACCCCATTTTCATGCTCCGTCACCTGCAACAAAATTATGTAAGCAGCAGACAAGAATGGCGCACAACAAAACTACTTTCATGTATGCTGTACAATATGTAACACTCTTTTTAGTTTTCGCTGGAACGAAGTTAGGACGTATGTATGCATGATGGCATCTCAGGTAAGTGACCTTTCCGCTCGCTGTCGTTGCCGTAGAAGATTTAAAGTGTGACGTGACGTTGGACTCCTCGGACAACAATTTCCACTCCTTAAGTCAACAATACAACACTTTCAGAACAAGAACTGAAACTCTTCAACCTTGTAATCGTTGACGTTGTTGAATGTAATTTTGTGAACAGAATAGTCATCTTCCTCTATAGCGTGCTCTAATTGAGCATGTGCTGCTAGCTGGCGATGATTCTGAAGCCAAAACTTGAATCAGACCTCTATCTCATGCGTTGCGGCTTACCGCCACTTCCGCATCGCATACAGAACATGTTATGCGGTAAGCATACGTCTCCATATGTTTTTTTCGTCCATGACGTCGTAACGCATCAGCTCGCGTGAATTTTGCGTCACACTTGTCGCAGTTGAAAAACTTAGCAGCCTGTGGCTTCATCCTCTCTACTTTGTAATTCTCCACATCCTGTTTAGTGAATCCATGGTTTTGGAACAAGTGC